GTTGGAGACTGAGAAATATGCGATCTAGAAACAGTACTCAGAAGCTATAGTGGCCGCCCCCAGACCTGCGAGGAGCTGTCCTATGGACGCAAAGGCCAGCTGCCTAGAGGGCCCGCTGGAGCGGAAAGCAGTGTCCAGAATCATAGGCACCGCGTTTGAGGTCCTTGGGATGCTCAGCAGCCGGAGCTGTCCCGGGAAAGGGCAGGCTTGCCCGGATGCAGAGGGCATCTTCGCGACCCAGCCTTCCTTCCTGAACCTCACGTCTCTGACGGCCACCCAGTGTGGCCAGCCCTGGCGTAAAGGAAGCCGCGGTGGCTGTCATTCTGCACGCGTACAAAGACAGAGCATGGCGTCCTAGTTAAAGCCCCTCAGCGGGGAGGCCGAGGCTCTGCTGCAGAGGGGACATTGCGGGTGTGAAGCATCGAGAGGCACACAAGAAGAGGACTCTGGAACCTCCCTGTCACAGAGTTGGCGCTGGCTCTCAGCAGCTCTGTCCACCAGGCCACTAGGCCGCCAGAGCTCCCGAAGACTTACACGCGGGCTTCAGAGAGCTCGGGGGAAACGGAGTGAAAAGCTCATGGATTTTTTTACCCCATGAGCTTCTTGAAGCCTTGGTGGTATGAGCAAACCTTGGTGGTTCGGTGGTGAAGAGCTCGCCTTCCAAGTGAGAGGCCCGTGCTGGATTCCCGGCCAACGCACCATAGATACAGCCATCCCTCGGTGGAGGTTTGCACAGCTGCTCTCTGCTCAGGGGCTTCAGTAGACCTTCCAGACAAGGGCAACGCCTAGTGACTTCCTTCTGAAATTCCACCAATAAAAACTCTGTGGCTCTAAAAGAAGCACCATCTGGATCCAAGTGGCTCAATCCACAACTGACCACAGGGATGCAACGGCACCAGACAGCATCTCGCTCATTTTGGGGGGGCCGAGAGGGGGGAGCCATGAGTTTGAGGCCAACTTGACACAGGAGCAACAACCCGAATGGAACAACAAAGACATGTTCCCCTTCAGATACTTAGGGCTTCCTTCCGAAACGCAGACACCCCACTTGCGATCTTCTTGTAAAACGCTGAACCGACTGATCCAAACAACACTTTCTGGCCACAAGCCCTGAATCCCTGAAGCTGAAGAGCTTCACTCAAATGGTTGCAAGTACTCTCATCAACCCAGTTACGTTCCATGAATAAACTCCAGTTTGCAACAGACGTGGCTCGAGCAGCACCAAAGGACACAGAGTGGTCACTGAGGTGGGTCCTCATGTGTCCATTTAGGCAGCCCCAAGTCACCTCTGTCCTCTGGCAGCCAAGCACTGTGTCTTCTCACCCAGGGCTGTAAAGCCTTAACATGGCAGCCCAGTCTTGATCAGCCAGTGCTTCTGAACAATTGGCTGCCATCTGTCCAGTGAGGCTTTGGGACCAAAATAAAGAGCAACTTTCTAACAATTAGGATGGTTTTAAAACAAGCTAGTGCCCTGGTCAGTGGCATGGGCTCCTCCCTGATAGACTCCAGCAGTCTCTATCAGGCCTCCAGCAGCCAGAGCTCAGCCACAAGTTAACGAGAAGTCCCAGCTCTGACATCCAGACCCACCCAAACGCCCAGAGGACAGAGAAGCAAAGGCAGGCGCTCCTTCCATGGGAGAAGAAGAGGCGCTTGCCTCCTCCCGGTCCTGGTGTTCCGGGGCACCCAACACCCTCAAGTCCGTGCTGACTCCGGGCTGCCCTGCAGGACAGAGAGAGCTGCTCCATGCGTGTGCAAGGAGTAGGCTGCCACAGATGTCTCCACAGGAGCCGTTGGTGGGTTCAAACTACCAGCCTTTTGGTTAACAGCTGAGTATCTTTAAACACCGCCCCACCAGGTTCAGGGAGGGAAAGGACTTCGTATCTGGGCTACCCAGTAAGTTGGCAGGGCCAGGGTCCATGTCTGTTCTGTCCGAAGCTGACGTCCAGGCTTAGGCCCCAAAACAACAGAAGAAGAAAGGCGAAGATAAGAGGAAAGGCCCTAATTGCTTGGACTCTTCAGAACTGGGAGAAGTGATCATGAGTTAACGTGGGAGACCCAATGTACACAGCTATTTTGATGAGAGGACTTATGATGATGGGTTTCTTTTCATCATGAGGCACTTCAAAAGAAAGGTCTAGTGGCCTACTTTCGAAACTACAGGCATCAAAGCCTTGAGGAGCGCAGGCCTATCCTGGTACCCTGGGTAACTGTGGTCATAGTATAACCAGGAGCAACTGGTGGTGGCAGGGGCATAAAGATGTGAGGTTATTGACAATCAACGGATACAAGGAGCAACAAGACACAGGGGATTGTGCAGAATACAAGGCCTACGGGAGGCAGACGGGCAATATCAAAGCAGGGAAGGTCCTGGGAGCCTCCAGCCATGTTTCCCCAGGGGACTCACACCAGCCTGGGCCCGGAAGCCGTCTAGAAGAATCCCACCAGGAGGAATGGGCCCGAGGATGCAGGGTTCTCAAACCACCTTGATGAAATGTGTCTAGAGTTTCACAAAAAGAGAAGTCAAAATGCTTCATTGCCTGTATATGGTTATGGATTCAAGTGTGACCCCCCCACCCCCCACCAAAAAAAGAGATTGCTCTTCTCAGCCTTCTACCTGTGAATGAGCCCTTTCTAAGCAAGATGGTCTTCCTTTGAAACGGTCACACTAGAGTAAGATGGGTCCTGAAACTAATCTCTTCCAACCCATGACCCACTAATTTCTTCTGGCCCCCAAAACAGACAAACAAGCAAACTCCATCAAGTCGAAGCTGACTGGTGGTGACCCTAAAGGACATGGTAGAACTGCCCCTGTGAGTCTCCAAGACCCTAACTCTTCAGAGGAGTAGAGAGCCCCATCTTTTTCCCAAGGAGGAAAAACTGCTGAGCGTGCAGGCAGCGTGCCGACTCCTATCCACAACCTCCCCAAAGCACCTCTCTGACAGCCCACCACCCCTAGAAGACAGAGGACTGCCCCAGAGAATCCCCAAGGTTGTAATCTTTGTGGAAACAGACTGCTACAGAGCTCTCCCGCACAGCGGCTGGTGGGTTTCTACCATCCGCCTTTCAGATAGTAGCTGACTGCTTCACCGCTTCACTACCAAGGCTCCTGGCCCGCTTCTTCACAGGGGGAAGAAGAGATGGGAGACAGTCTCACATGGAAGATACCAAGGGAAGGTACATCTACGAACAGTCAAGGCATGCCCAGGGTTGCCAGCAGCCACCAGCAGCTGGGAGAGAGGTGGGGAAGAGTTTGCAGCTCAGAGGCCTTAGAAGGAATTCGTAAAGTTCAGGCTCCACAACTGTGAGTCAATCCACCCCCTTCCGTTCCTGAAAGCCATTTGTGATGGTTTTTTAGTGCCAACGTGGCACCTGTGAGAAGATACGGGTGGAGTTTAGCCTGTCAATCGGGTACCAGCTTGATGGCCTCATTTGGTGGTACCACCGAGATAAATGGCTCTCTGGAGGTGGGCCCCTCTCTCTCCTGCGCTCGCCTGCCTGTGGCAGATTTGTAAGAGTCAGTCACGTGTTCATGATGAGAACCACAGCAGCGAAAACCCTCTCACCAGCATTTTGTTGAATGCCTGCTATTTGACCCAGTTTCTTAAAATCAACACCTGATCTTTTCAAGTTTTTGACAGTTTTCCCACTGAGGAACCATGGCAGGCACCCCTCACCCCTTCACTAATGCAGTCACAACTCGGAAACAGTCAAAGGCCTCGCACCAGCCAGCCCCTGCGTTGGTGACCGTCCAGGCTCAGGTAGGCAGAGATGGGAGGCAGCTCACCCAAACCCAGCCTTGGAGCAAAGAGTAGGCTTGGCCAACAGGCTGCAAACTCCGCTAGCTAGCTAAGTAGGATCGTGTTTCATACTGAGCAACAAGAAGGAGACTCTCAAACCTTACATGAGAACACCCTCCTCAAAGCCCTTGCCCTTGCCACCAGCTGAGTAGGCGTCTTCTGGGAGGAGGGGAGCTGAAGGAGTATCCCCTTTGCAAATTGTCTTAACAGCCTATAAACATAAAAATGTCACCGAGCACCACGTAGTTTAAGGAAAGCTGATTCATTAGTGATTTTTTTTTTCCAGGAAATCAACACACAGTCATTGTAGGAAATCTAGAAGACACAGAGGAGTATAATAATGGAGAATTTCTAATAGGGCAGAATTTAAAATTGTCAGTCCCCTGAGATTAGAGATGGGGTTAACTAGTGGCTTCCACTGCAGGCATATTGCCCAGCATGCAACTGAGCATGGGCCTAACCTCTCCTGGGCCCCTGGCTCCCAGGAGTGAAGCCAATTACAGGACAGAAGAACAAATATGCGTAATTGTGCCCAACAGGGGGCAACATCTCCAGCTCCAGAATCAAAACCCCTACCTCGGTTGTCACCAAGCAGAATCTCTACTGTCCCTTAGCTGCGTGGCGATGAGCACGTTCCTTGACCAGTCTGGACCTCATTTCCTATCTGTAAATTGGGGATGAGGCTGGTCTCTGCTTCCTAGGGGCACCTGTGAATAAGAACAAGTGCTGCCCTCACAATACCTCGGACACTGGATGAGAGTGTGTCTAGTGTCTTTAAAAGGAAAATCAATATGTGTGTCAATATGCAGAAATAATAATGCACTATTGGATCCCTAAAAGCTGGGGCGGGGCCAAGGGGGGAGGGGGAGATCAGTGCTGCCTTGGTGTTCTAAGTTAAGTCTAAGAATGAACTTAAACCCAAACCCACGCCATCAAGTTGAGTCTGACTCACCGTGTGGCGTCCAGTAGAACTACTTCATTGGGTTCCCAAGGCTCTAAATATGTTTGGAAGCAGGACCTCACCTTTGTCCTGAGGGCAGCTGGGAGGTTTGAGCAGCTGGTCTTCAGGTTAGTAGTCTAACACTTAATCCACTACACCACCAGGGTTTGTTAGCATCAGTCTACAACTACCATGTTCCTCAGTACTGGCTTTCACACATTGTATATCACGGAATTTGGATCCCTCTTTTGAGAAGTACTAACCTGTCTTTCTGTCCTGGGGATTAAACAGAACCAGTATTTTATGTTGAGGTTCATCACGGTGCACAGTGCAAAAACAAACAGATGAAGCATCAACTTTAACCTTAAAAAAAAAAAAAAAGAAAGTCATAAAATAAGCATCTTGTTCTTTCATCATAATAAGGGCACAGGAAACTACTTAGAGTTAATTAGCACATTAAACAAACACAGAGCTTGATTTTATAGGACAAAAAACGTTTCCCCCCCTACGGAAATCTCAGTATGACTACCCTGAGCAGGCTTCACCCAAGGGCCATCCCCATCTCACAAACAGGACGCCTTGCAGCTCCCTCAGGGACCTGCCCCCCTCCCCAGACACATACTGAGGACCACCTATTTTGTGGACCAAACACCCTTGGGCGTTCACCCTTCTGTACACTCCCTACCCAGAAGACCTCTCCCTCTGACTCCTCCTTGGCCTCACAGCCCACAGTCCCCCTCAGACTGAGCACCCTCCATGCTGGCCTCCACTGGCCTCCTAGGGACTTCAGACCCACTCCCTGGAAACAACCCTGGCTGGGCCTACCTGTCCTCAGGAGGCCACTGTGCTCAGGCTACCCTGGCTCGGTCCCTGTGATCAGTCTGGAGAAACCATCCCCGCTACGTGCCCTGTCTGCTTGGCCCTGGCTCCATCAGCCCCAGGGACCCTTTCTCCTAACTGTTGCCTCCACGGGAACACAGAGGAGTGGGTTCAGGGTCTCTAACCCTGGAATCACCCCAGATCCTTCCCTCGGGAACCCACCTCCATAGCCCTCTCTGTGGCCATGTAGCCCCCCACTAACACATTACATCATAAGCTCTGTGTTGAAAACTGAGGCGAGTGTGTGAAAATGGGGGTGGGGGCACACATCTGCTAAGCAGGCTGCTGGCGAACATTGACAGCGGACCTCCACAGCTTCGGGACATTGTCTCCTCACACAGCCCGGGTTCAAGACTGGCACGGGGCCTCCGTCAGGAGATGCCCTCGTGCTGGCTTTCCACAGCATGGATGCAAGGTACTGTCCGTTACAAGGTGGCATCACCAGGTCATGGAGAGAAGGTTGACAAAGGATAGTGCCAACACAGGGAAAAAGTGTTTATTATAAATAGCACTCTAGCTTTTCCGGCGCTGACGACCGCCCGGCGATCATGCCTCTCGCAAAGGACCTCCTTCATCCCTCTCCCGAAGAGGAGAAGAGGAAACACAAGAAGAAGCGCCTGGTGCAGAGCCCCAATTCCTACTTCATGGATGTCAAATGCCCAGGCTGCTATAAAATCACCACGGTCTTCAGCCATGCACAAACAGTCGTTTTGTGTGTTGGCTGCTCTACTGTCCTCTGTCAGCCTACAGGAGGAAAAGCAAGGCTCACAGAAGGATGCTCCTTCAGATGGAAGCAGCACTAAAAGACCCTGAGTGGAGATGAGTGGAAAGCCATTCTAATAAACCCATTTTGGATACAAAAAAATAAAAAAATAAATAGCACTCTAGCGATGAATGTACATATGTGCTTTGCACAGTTGATGTGTGTATGGATTGTGATCAGAGTTGCATGAGCCCCTAATAAAACGATTAAAAATAAATAAATAAATAGCGAACCTGTGATTTTTCCACATTTCTTAGATTACCTGGAATCCCCATGCCCCTGCAACCAGGCAGCCCACCACCACAAGAGCTTTGTCGTTTCTGACTTATCGGCCACTAGGGAGCAGCAGAACCACGTAGGCACTGCACCTTCAAGGAGAGTCACCCAGGGAACTGGATTCTAGGACAGGGTAGAGCAGTCTCTGTCCCGGAGTAGAAAGCCTCATCTTTCTCCCATGGAGCACCTAGTGGTTTCGAACTGCTGATCCCAATGTATAAACCACTCACCACTTCAGCCAACGTTCCCCACTGGTGGGAGAGCAATGATTTCTGGTACTAGTGAAATCTTATATACGTAAAACAAGAAAGTCTTGTCTTGTTCAATAGATTGGCCTCAAGTCAAGATTTAGGCACAGCCTCAAATTCACAGATTCTTTTTCCTTACTTCAAAGAAAAGAGGAGGTAGTTTTAAGTGTATATGAATCATTGAATGAAAAGTCTGTCTGCTCTGTAATGTTTGCCCGTAACACAAAAAAAAGCCTTTAAAAAGGTAAAGTAACGCAATTTTATAGTATCATCCACTCTCCTACTTCCTAACAAATAAATGTTTTCATTTCCCTCTTGACCCTTCCAATCCCCACTCCAAAGGCATCTCCTTTTATCCATGCTAAATACAGCTAATGATAGAACTTCATTCCAAACCACAAACTTTTAGAACAGAATCAAATTAGGGTACAAAGACCAATTCCCCCACTTTACACATGGGGAACTAAGGCCTGGCCAGGCATGATTTGCACACCGTGTCTCACTGAGCGTACACAATACCCCCATGAGCTAAGTGCTGCTGTCCTGGTTTTACTGGTAGAACACCCAGACCTAGGGAGGTAAGAAACTTGCTCAGAGCCACCCATCTAGTACATCATCTTCCTACCCAGGCGATCTGGCCTTGGTAGGCTGGTGGCTGTCTCATAGGCAGGACTCCAGAAATTCCCATCCAGGATTCCTCGCGTCTTACACACCCATCCCTGCCGTCAGATTAACCCTGACTCTCAGCAATCCTACAGAGGGTCTCCTCAGTTATAAATCTCTACAGGAGCAGACAGCCTCGTCGCTCTCCCTCTGAGCAGCTAGTGGGTTTGAACCACCAATCTGTCGGTTAGCAATCCAACGCTTACCTGACAGCTCCACCAAGACTCCTTTTCCACGCCCTAAGGTTAGTCTAGTACTCACACCAGCAAGCTTTTTGTGGGGTTTTTTTCCTTCTAAAATCTAGAATGCTTTCTCACTACAATTCAGCTTTCTAGAAAGGAAATGAGACTTAACAGGGCTTTCCGCCAGCCAGGCAGATGGCACCTACCTGCTCCCCGGTGGAAAGAGAGAAAAGTTCTGGTGAGGGAGCAGCCCTGTCCTGGAGAAGCGTCTCGTGGTAAGCCAGGGCTGCTTCCCGCAGCCTGTCCGGGTCATCTTCCAGAGTGTCTACTGGGTAGGCATGAACTGTAGGGACAAAAGGCACAAAGTGACATCTCTTTTACTCTTTCTTTAGATGCAGAGAAAGATATTTATTTCATAAAGCTTTTTTAAGACACACACACACACACACACACACACACACACACACACACACACGAAACACCAAAAATGTATGTTAGCATTAAATTGAACACTTGCCTCCCATAGCCCAGTCTGTCTCTCAGAACTAAGAGAAAACTGCTCCCTCCCACACTGCAGTGGTACCCACCTCACCACCACCACCCCTGGCTGTCCCTGTAGGCCATTCTGAGAGGGGACCCTGCCTGAAAGTTTACTCCTTCCTCAGAGACCCCTTCAGAACCGTCTTGAAGCTTAAACTCCAACTGCATCACCTCTCTCCATGGATTCAGGACCTCAGCATTTCCTTACCAAGCCTTGGCCCCTCCCGCTCACAGCCACCCTCCACTCCGGCGGCAGCTACCAATTAACATAACCATCTTAGGAAGGAACCGTGGGCTGGGAGCCAGCGGGATGCTAAGTGCTCCACACCCCTTGCCTCACTTGCCTTTACTGCCTTCCACTGAGGCCTGTTAATGGAGTCTCCCCAGGACTGCAGCTCCGTAGGTGGAAAGCCTGACGTTCTACTCCCCAAACCAAATCAAACTCGTCCCAAACCAGGCCAACTCAGCCACAGAACCGGTTGGACTGCCCTGTGGGCTTCTACGCTTTGTGAGGGTGGGAAGCGGAGTCTTTCTCCCCTGGTGGTTTTGAACTGCGGACCTTCTGATTAGCAGCCCAACACGAACCCACGTGGGGCAGTTGTACTCTGTCACATGGAGTTTGAGTGGATTGTACAAGTCTCAACGGTGGTCTTTCCCTCTGGGCTTCAGCCAACCCTTCTCTCAGCCTTACCACCCTCTACTGCCCTTCCAGAAGGCCAGAGACTCACAAGGCAAGGGCACGGCGGAGATGTCGACTAGGAAGTAACAAACACACTGTGCCCCACTTCCCCCACCCGAAGGCATAGTAGCTATGAGTTGGGCTGTAATCCCCTGGGTCACAGCTCAAAACCACCAGCAGCTCCTGGGGAGAAAGACTGGGCTCTCTACTCCAGTTAAACAGTTACAGTCTGGAAAACCCACAGGGGGTCGCTTTGAGTCAGCATGGACTCAAGCAATGCAGGGAGGCTGGGGTTTGGCTTATAGAGCAGATCGTTCACAACCTGAACTCTGGGCGTGTAGGAAACAGCCGGGGCGCCCTCCCCTCTCCACCTCATCAGCACGCAAGGAAAGTTCCTGGGGTATGTTCAGTACACAGCCTCTCTACTTGCCAGCCGCCCACACAGACATGCCTCCCTGCGCTGCCTCCAGCCTACACACTTTGTGAATGTGGGTAGTAATCCAGCAACGCTCTCCTTGATACTATTCTGTGCTTCTGGTTGTCCAAGTGGCTTCCCACAGTCGGAACGAAAATGCCTGTGGGCTGCAGTGTCACTGGCTGTCCATGTAGGAATTGTTTAATTGGTACATGTTCTGCCGTTCAACAAATAAAATGACATTAAAAGGCCCTGTGTTGGCTCTTGTTCGATGCCATCGAGTCCGCTCCGACCCATAGCGGCCCTGTGCACAACAGAAGTAAACGCTGCACGGCCCTGCACCGTCCTCACAACCGTTCCTCTCCCTGAGCCCATCGAGGCAGCCTCTGTGTCAACCCAGCTCACGGGAGGCTTTCCTCTTTTGTGCCACCCCTCCAATTTCACAGACACGGTGTCCTCCAGGAACTGGTCTCTCCTGACAGCATGGCCAAGTACGTAAGGTGAAGTCTTGCCATGCTTGCCTCTAAGGAGCACTCTGGCCCTACTTCCTCCAAGGCAGATCGGTTGGCTTGTCCCTTGGCAGTGACGCTACTTTCAATCCTCTTCTCCAGCACCACAAGTCAAAGGCCTCCATTCTTCGAAGGTCTTCCGTATTCCATGTCCAATGTTCACGTGCAACGGGGAGTGCTGTCGCTTGAGTCAGGCGCACCTTAGTCTTCAAAGAAACCTCTTTGCCCTTCAACACTCTAATGAGGTCTTAGGCAGCAGATGTACCCAATGCAATATGTCTTTGGATCTTCTTGATGGCTGCTCCCAGGAGCATCAATTGTGGTTCCAAGTAAGACAAAAGCCTTAACAACTTCAACCTTTCCTCCATTTACCATGATGTCACCTCTTGGTCCAGTGGTGAGGATTTTGGTCTTCCTTACATCGAGTCGTAATCCCTCCTGAAGACTGCTAGCCTTGATCTTCAGCTGCAAGGGCTCCAAGGCCTGCTCCCTTTCAGCAAGCACGGTTGTGTCATCTGCACACAGCAGGTTGTTAGTAAGCCTTCTTCCAATCCTGATGCCGCCCTCTTCCTCACGTAATCCAGCGTCTCTGTGCATTTGCTCACCATAACGATCCAACAAGTCTGGTGTGAGGTGAGCCCTCGTGCACACCTGTCCTGATTTTTAAAACATGCAGCATGCCCTTATTCTGACGGACTGCACAGCTGCCACGTACTCTGAGTACAGGTTCCTTACAAGCACAGTGAATGTTCTGGAATTCCCCTTCTTCTCAAGGTTATCCACAGTGTATTACGGTCCACACCACGCAATGCCTTTGCATCGTCAATGAAACACGAGTAAGCATCGTTGGGGATCCTCTACTTTCAATCAAGATCCAACTGACAGTAGGCATGATACTCCTTGTTCCACGTCCTCTTCTGGAAGTTCCCTGTCAATGTACTGCTGCAATGGATGATCTCAAGTAAAATCTTACTTGTGTGCAATATCAATGATATCGTTCTCGAGTTTGAGCATTAAAAAGCCCTACGCGTGCTCACGTCAGGTAAGGAAAAGGAGAGGCGTCGCGTGCACGCACACTGCACGCAGCCTTGTCCAGAAACCGGCCGCAGCAGCCGCCCTCGGCAGGCACTCCCAGGAACAGCATCCTAAGGAGCAAGTGGAGATGCGTGGGATGTTGGCTCTGCTGCAGGCCCTGTCTTTGGGGAGGACATCTGCTAGGTCTGGGCTTCCAATCCTCCCTGAGCACTTCTCAATGTTGACAGAAAAGTATGATTCACAAGTCAGAGAAGTTAAACTTGGCCCTTCCAATTTCCTTTTGGAAGGATTCGGAGCTGAGAGATAGGTGGGGACCAGGGGTGGGGAGCCTCACCCCAGGCCACCAGGGCAAGAGGCTTGGAGCTCCACCGGCAGCCCAGCGCGGCTCCTGCCTTGTTCCCTGCGTGTTGCTGAGCCCTGCCTGGCAAGGGGTTCTGATCACAGGGTCAGGAGAAATGCAATGAATATGTTTTGCTCCCCCATACTGTGAAATCATTTCCCCAACAGGTTAAAGACCTCCGACGACAAGGAAAGAATCCCTACACCCTAGGTCTACCAGCAGGTGGTGCAACAACAACCCCAGGTGGTCCGGTGTGCCAGAGCCTGGTGGTGGGAGGGCCAGGGTGGTACAGATTCATTCTGCCAGGGCCACGATGGAGGGACAGGATGGGAGGTTTGACCGTGGGCACGGTTCCAACAGAACATCACATTCCTGCTCTGGGAGCCGGAGGCAGGCCCCAGGAGTAGCCAACTCCCAGGGTCCCAGGCCCTTGGGATGGAGGGTCCCTGCAGCGCGGGCAGGACGAGGGGTCCCCTCCCAGGCTGGAGGACAGAGGCTGTGCCAGTCTGCAGTCCTTTCTGTTTTATTTGTTGCTCTGGGGGAATTCCCCAACGCGGGTGCGCCCACAAGCGCCAAGGGGAGCCTGGAGGGAAACCAGGTGGAAGGTGAAGTGTAGCTGCCAAGGGCAGGAGACGTGGGGGGGGGGGGGGGGGAACATCCGGCCCACCCGCCTGACCGGGGAAAGAAGACCCCCTGCGCTGCCCCCTAAAAGGAAGAGCCCCTCCATAAGCCCACTTTGCAAGCAAGGAGAAGGTGGACTATCTGTCCCATCCGAAAGGCAGACCTCCTGGGTTCCCAGTCCAACCCTGGGGACAAGGACCAGTCTGGGGCTCCGTGGGCGCGTGCTGGAGGTGCAAGACAGCCACGCTTGCTTAGCTGGTGATGGGAGGCGGCAGTGGTTTCCAGATGTGGAATGCTAACTGGCTTTCATGGCCTGAACTGAACAGGAAAACATTTCCCGAAGCCCAAGGAATGTAATCTTTTCGGTACAAAGTAAAACGCTTTTATGGCACGGATATGCGCTGCAATGGCGATTCGCTGCGGCCTTAAGCCCCAACCAACAATGAATGTAAGAATTCCCTTAGAGCAGCTATTTATACTGTCACTCTAAAAACAAAAGCAGGGGTACGTTTTAAAACTGCTCTTCAAGGGAAAACTCTTAAATCATTCAAGGCCTTTGTACTGAAATTCAACTTCTTAGGGCTGCATGTAGCTCTATGCCTAGAGGCTGGAATTCAAGGGCGGTTCTCATGAAAACAGCACTGCCAAATAATGAAGCCCTTACTGGAGTCAGGGCTCTGCACTTGACCATGGGTTCAGTATAACTTGCAGCATACCATCTCCAAACGCATCCCCGTAAACACCAGTACATGCTTTCACTGGGACAGAATTGGATTTTATCTCATATGAGAGTATCAGAAATCTGAATGAATAGATTTACATTTTTACTGGCCTTGCTCTTAAGAATGGACTTGGGAGGTGGGTGGGGGCTGGGGCTGGGGAAGCTTTTACCTGGCTGTAATTACACCAACTTAAGTTACTGGAGAGGTTGACTGCAATCCCTTGATTGTTCGGTAAGGCTGTGGTCAACATTGAATTATATGCAGCACGATGCCTTCCAGGCCTCTGCTATCCTGTGTGGGGCTGCCTACCACCTTCTCAGAAGACTTTCAGGAACAAGAGATTCCTGACCAAGACACAAGAGCAGAATCGTCCATTCCCCGATGGATTCGCAGGAAAACTGGTAATAAGATCAGGTGCCCCCCACGCCCACCCCAAGATCATTGCCTAAAGTTCCACATGCCTATGTACAATTCAGGGCATTTAGAACTTCCACACAGTGGACTTTGCTTAAGTATAAGGGTTTCTTTCCCAAACGTATTCAATTAGGGTTGCCAATGGGTTACTTAACAGCTAGGTCAGCAGTTTGAACCCCCCAACTGCTCCGTAGAAGAAAGATGACGCTGTCTGCTCCTATAAAGATGTCCAGTCTCAGAAACCCACAGGGGCAGCTCGACTCTCTCCTATGACAGACCTGACTCAATAGCAGTGTGTTTGTTTGTCTTTCTTTGTGTTTGTTTTGCCCCAGAGCACTAGTTGAGAGCTGAGGAAACACTCGGGGACAGTGCATTGAAATACTGTAGGGACAGAAAACAGGCAATGCCTGGGACGCGAGGTCAGTCCGAGCTAAGGGCACGCCCATGACGTGAGGTGCACAGCCTCCCTCGACTGGGAGGAGTAACAAACAGAAGGAGAAGCCAACAAACACTGGGATATTTTCGTTGTTTTCTGAAGAGAAGCTTATTGCCAAAATAGTCTTAGCAAAGAAGTCAAAGAGGGCGGCGGGTAGTTGGAAGGCAGAATGGAGACTATGTTAGAATTTTTTGAGCAAACTGTCAGGGTACGGCCGGGATGTTTCGAAAGGGCTGCAGGTGGCTGCGATGAAGTTTGACTGTCCAGTAATTGACAAGGAGCACGTTGCTCTGTCATCACATATTAGTTTTGGACAGCTCAAACCGCTTCACTGTGAGGAAACGGTTTGTCTCAGATCTAAGACGGTAGGACAGGCAGATGATGTCCTATGCCACCCACACAAAGGTTTATGCAATCCTAATTGTTTTTAATATGAAGGGCTCCTAGTCCGAGCCAATTAATGCTTCTAACTTTTAGGCAAATAATACAAGGACAAATTTATCATCCCCCCCCCCCATTGAAAAGGCTATGAAGTGAGACTAAAACATACTACTTCAGTTTGCTCTCAGAGGTGCGGAGAGCCCTGGTGGTGTATCGATAGTGTGAAACCATGCACAGCTCTGCAGGGGCTTTCTACTCCCTGCACAGTTACAGTCTCAGAAACCCACTAACGTGATGGGAGACAATTTGGTTTTCATATCTATGGTGTGTGAGTGAGTTAGCTTATTGTGCCAGCCTGGCCAATAAACACATGTAGTATTAAATAAAATTGCTAGGACGGAGGGTGAGGGAACCAGCCCCCACCCGCTGCTTGAACTCACTGGTTCAGTAATACTACTTCTGGGTTCAATAATGCACAATTGTACGGTTGAGATATATAAGTATTATATTACAGTCATCGAGAGCATGAGAGATAATACAATAATACAGTCAGGCATGATACACAGCAACATTGCTCACCTCAGCCCAGCTTGGTGGTCCATGTGGAGAGAGGGGGAAGGGAAGGAGGGGAAGGGAACAAGGGAGAGGGGAGTGACCAGGGAGTGAGCAGCAAGGAGCTCAGAGTCAGAGTCAGAGAGTCAGAGAGAGAGCTATAGTGCTGGCTCACACCTATATACCTTCTGGGGGCAAGCCAGCCCACTAATTACAGGTAAAGACATACGTCACAGGAAGGGGCTGCACTATAGGTTACACAGCAATGAGAGGGTGGTCTCTGGGTCTCCATAGGAACATTATCAGTAGGGTGTAAACCCCACCTAGAGGAACCAAGCTAATGGTCCCAAAGCTTCAGAGAGAAGTAGGCCATTGTCCCCAGCAGCAGGGAGCAGGCCCAGCCCTGCTGTGGGATGAGACAGCAGTCTGGCAGCAAGTGTCTGACTTCCCCCCACAAAGACATGTGGGGTTAACTGAAGGGCAGAGGGATAAATGGCTCAGTGAGCCTCCTCTTTCTAGGTCTCCGGTCTCTTGCTTTCTGATGGTCGCACCAGGGTGCAGCTGCCTTAGCAGTTCCCTGCTTCAGCTTGCAAGGCTGACTTCCTGCAAGACATCCCCAAGGAGAAGCCACATGGATGCGCAGGAAAACAAGGAGATCCATGAACTTAATTAGCAAAAAAATACCGTGTCAGGAACACCAAAACAGGGCGGGCGCCCAAGCTGGCAGGAAAACGCGGTGGTAGGAAACATTCCAGGTTGGAATTCAGTGCTCTGAACCATACAGAATGCCAGGGGGAGAAGGGACAGAATCCTGTTGCAGGGATGCTTGTACCATCGCGGTATAATTACATCCCTCGACAACTACCCAAACCTTCGTGCTGCCGAAGGACTTTACAACCTGTCATCCAAAAATCACTTTCTGTATGCTCATCTGCTACGCAGTAAAAAGACTTGGAAGGGGACAGGGCTTTCCATCTGGGAATCCCAATTCTGGGAGAATGAGAAAAGCTGAACCAACGCTGGATCTCTGGCCCATAACCCGTTTCTGAAGAAGGCGGTGGGGGTGGTTTACACACTTAGACCCAAGCACCTGGAGAACTTCTAGAACACATGCATCAAGAAAACTACGTTTTAAGAAGGCATCATTCTGTCTGCATCAGGCTAGGAAGTATATGAAGGGGTCCAGGGGCCACTGGGGTTGAGTTGATTCCCACTCCTGGCTCCACTGTGGGACAGGCCAGAACTGCTGGGTGGGGTTTCGAAGACCTGATTTTCACAGGAAGCAGATGGTCACATCCTTTGTCTGCATCTGAAGAACGTACAAACCACTCCACGTTAGCGCCAGTTCAGTTTCTCACTTTAAAAATACAGAAGACACTTAATACTCTGCTTCTACAGAAAAATAAACTTCATACATAGGGAGAAAAATACACATCAACTGTGTAAAGCGCATTTGTACATTCATTGCCCGAATGCGCTTTACACAATTGATGTGTGCATGGATTGTGATAACAGTTGTATGAGCCCCTAATAAAATGATTTTTTTTAAAAACAGCAACATGTTCTTATATAAAAATGTGTTTGATGGCACCAGAGCCTAAACTCTAACCACCAGTTTGCAGAGTGTTATAGATAACAGTAAATCCCAAAATCCACGTAGTCTGCATCCCCACCGACCATCATCCAGGCATGAAAATCGCCTTCATATCAGACAGAGCGCATCGGGAAGTGGGTTTTTGCAGCTGTAGATAGTTTGGAATGCCACCCTTTTGTCATTAGATCTCCCGTTTGACGCATTGTGAATGTAGCCTGGCTTTTAAAGGCTTTCCGACTTCTTTGTGATTGAGGTTTTACTCTGTTTTTGTTTAGTTCTTTGGGTCCTTGTTGCTTTGATGTTTTTGCCTTTGCTTTGTATGTTTTCCTGTCTAGGGCAGTCAGGCGGGCAGGTCTATGAAGACCGTAACTGGGGGCATGAGGAGGAGCTGGGGGGAATGGGGAGCAAATAGCAGAGAGCCCACGAAGGAAGAAAATGCCCCCAAGGTGGTTGTGGCCATGATTGCACCACCTTTCCCAGTATGATTATGTAAGGGTTTTGGGGGCACGAAACGGAATTAAAGATCCAATTGGTAAAGTTTTAGTAGCAGGCTTTATTGAGAAGCTTGCGGGCAGGTTCAGCAACTCAGGTATTGAGCCGGTGAAACCGCGCGAGGGGAATTTCTGGCTGCATTTTTATATCCCCTGGTGGCAGGCACAGCTGCACACAGGGGTTTCAAAGGGAAGTGCTCATTAATCTTATCTATAGGTCCGGGACGGGTGGAATAAACACATCTTCAGAGGATGCAGGGAAGTGGATCTATAGGTCCTGGATGGGTGGAATAAAAATATCTTCAAAGAATGCAGGGAAGTGGTCGTTAATCTTATCTATAGGTATGGGGCGGATGAAATAAACATATCTTCAAAGAACATTCTTTCTCGGGGATGTCTGGTTCTCAGAACTGGCGAGGGGAGGGGAAGCCGATGTGAGGGAGGCCCATGAGAGGTGAGTTCTGAGAACCAAGAAGGTGCCGGATTCAAAATGGAGTCCCTTGTGCCAAGACCAGGCAGATTACACTGTGGACGTGTATGAAAAGTCCATCATATTTCAATAAAACGATTTTAAAATGTGTTTTAAATTAGTCACAAAAGGGCAAATGTGGTATGATTTCACTTATATGAACTATATAGAATAAGTAAGTGCATAGAGACACCTACTTACTAATTTCGAGTTAACACTAACACAAGGAACTTATGTGGCATAATGGTTAAAACATTCAACCCCAATCCCCCTAAAAACAAGAAAACAAACATTCAAACCCACCAGCCACTCAGCAGGAGAAAGGTATGCAGGTAGGGTCATCAGGGAACACCGCCCCCCATCGAGCCCTCCCTGCCTGAAGGTCAGTAGGCTGTCGTTCTAAAGGGGGGTGACCAATGCCTGTGGCTGCTCGGGGTTGGGCTGCCTGCTTACTTCCCCTGGGAGGCAGATTTGTTGCCTTTAGGGATGAACTTCAGGGACTGCTGAATATTCAGAAGCGGGACTGTCCCCGCTTGGGGCCATCATTGAGGAACTCGTGGCCAAGCCGGTGGCCGCATTTTCCGCAGGACACCTTGAAGGCACCCGGCTGATTGCGCTCGGGCCGCTGGGCCACACTGTCAGCGGTCATCATGGACGGGCTCCGAGAAGGCTGCCCACAGCGACAAGTGAGTGTTCGTACTTGGAGCGGCCGGAGAACAGCTCGTGGCCGCACTGGGCACACACATAGACAGCGGGTTCAAAGTGATTCTGGAAAACCTCACCCCCGAGAAGCTGCAGAAAGACATGGTGCCACGGGGTTCCCGGCCCACTCCACACTCCGACAGCTCCCAGTGCACCGACCCCACCGCACATCTTATTTTGAAGTAAAAAAACAAAATGGGCAAAAACACCCAGCGGCTGCATGTGGCCCATGGGCTAGTTTGAGGACCCCTGGGTTACACAATGGGCTGCTGACCAAAAGATCAGCAGTTCTAGACCACCAGCCACCCCAGGAGAGAAAGATGAGGCTTTCTACTCCCATAAAGATGTACTGTCTTGGAAACCCAAAGGGGTGGCTCTCTTTTGTCCGGTAGGGTCACCATGAGTCAAATCAACTCAGTGGCAGTGAGTTTGGGTTTAATTGTTTGTTTGTAAACTATTTACAAACAACGTTCACAAGGAACCTATCATCAGGTCTACCTCCTACAGTGCCACTATGGGTCGAACCACCAATCTTTTAATTAGCAGCCACGCACTTCACCCCTGTGCCAACGGGACTCTTTCTTGGATTAATAACTCCATTACCATGTAGACAATTCCAGCTCATCGCAATTCTACAGGGCAAAATATAACTGCCCTATGAGGTTTACAAGGCTGTCACCTTTGAGGAAGCAGACTACCCCATCGTTCTCCTGTGGAGCAGCTCGTGGGTCTGAACCGTCAACCTTTTGGTTGGCAGCTGAGCACTTAACCATTGTGTCACTAAGTCTCCTTCCAAGAGTGAAGACAAGCTACCCACTAGAAATACACTGGCTTCAAAATCCCCCAGATCAAGCTCCAAGGAACACGGGGGCATAAGTGGGGGGGAAACAACAAACTGAACACACAAACTAGCTGCGATGACAGCGTTACAAACTGCACAATGACCCCCAAAGAACGCATCTTTGTAAAGCATCCAATATGGGCAATAACAATATCAAATATTCTAGTGAAGGGAGGAATTTAAGCCAATCAATTGTACATCTGTAAAAAGCGAATTGCTGAAAGATGTGTCGGACACTATTCGCAATAAAGAGAGGGAGGGTAACTGCAAAAGCAGCTGATGTGCAGCCAACCACCTCGGGGCTTCCCCCAGGCTGAGGGCGATGCTTTCAGGAGCTACCCCAGTTCGTGGGCCTAATATGCCTCGGGTCTTACAAGCTGCAAGCAGAAAGCCAGAAACATTCTCTCTATGACCTGGAGCAACAGAGACTAAAAGACAAATCAGGAACAGAAGGATAAACGACATGTTTAGCTGATTGCCTTCATGGACAATTGCACTCTACCGTGAGACCAGAACCCAGTTACCTTTTTAAAAAAAATCATTTTATTGGGGGCTCGTACAACTCTTATCACAATCCATACACACATCCATTGTGTCAAGCACATGTGTTCATTTGTTGCCATCATCGTTCTCAAAACATTTGCCTTCAACTTGAGCCCTTGGTATCAGCTCCTCATATTTCCCCTCCCTCCCTGCCCACCTCCCTCACGAACCCTTGATAATTCATAAATTATTATTATTACTTTGTCATGTCTTACACTGTCTGACATCTCCTTTCACCCACTTTTCTGTTGTCTGTCCCCCATGGAAGGGGTTATATGTCTTTGTAATCGGTTCCCCCTTTCTACCCCACCTTCCCTCCACCCTCCCACCACTGGTCCTGAAGGGTTCATCTGTCCTGGATTCCCCAGGTTTCCAGTTCCTATCTGTACCAGTAGGATCATGATAGTGGGGGCAGGAAGCATTTAGGAACTAGAGGAAAGTCGTATGTTTCATCGTTGCTACACTGCACCCTGACTGGCTCGTCTCCTCCCTATGACCCTTCTGTAAGGGGATGTCCAGTTGCCTAGAGATGGGCTTTGGGTTCCCACGCAGCACTCCCCCTCATTTACAGTGATATGATTTTTTTGTTCTTTGATGTCTTATACCTAGTCCCTTCTACACCTCGTGATCACACAGGCTGCTGTGCTTCTTCCATGTGGGCTTTGATGCTTCTGACTTGGATGGCCACTTGTTTACCTGCAAGCCTTTAAGACCCCAGATGCCATATCTTTTGGTAGCCGGGCACCATCAGCTTTCTTCACATTTGCTTATGCACACATTTGTTGTCAACGGTCGAGTAGGGAAGGTGAGCATCATGGAATGCCAGTTTAATAGAACAAAGTGTTCTTGCATTGAGGAAGTACTTGAGTGGAGGCACAAGGTCTATCTGCTACCTTAAGGTGACCAGATTTAAAACAGAACACCATTGACCGGGGTGTGTGTGTGTGTGTGTGGGGGGGGGGTGTTCTTGTTTAAAAATTTGGTCTATATGGACCAAATAAGACTGTTCCTTAGTTTGTCATGCATTCTTTCCAAAAATCGGGACTTTTTTAAAAGGCCAAAAATCAGGACTGCCCCACCAAAAGCGGGACGTCTGGTCACCTTAACCGTAATGCTAACCCTATAAATGTATGTACATAGATCTACTACCCCATCATCATATATAAATATATTTACATATGTACATGCCTGTATTTAGACCTCTATAACTTCTCTTTGCTTCCTAGTTCTTTCTTCTATTTCTTTTACTTTCCTCTTGTCCCACTATCATGCTCAGCTTTCATTTGGGGTTCAGTAATTCCTCTCTGTTACATTGCCTTGATCACGCCCGACCAGGTCTCCTACACCCTCCTCAGCACCGATTTTGCATCACTTGTTGTTCCCTTGCCCCTGGGTTTGTTAACATCACTTCCTTTCTCCCACCTTCCCCTCTCCCATGTCCCCCCCAGAACTGCTGGTCTCGTTGTTTTCTCCTCTAGATGGTTTATCCCGCCTGTCTTATCTAGATCGACCTGCAGAGATAATAACATGCATAAAAACAAGACAGAGCAAAACAAAGCAACAAAAGAAAGCAAAACTACCACCAAAGGGGAAAAAAGCCAATGACAAAAGAAAAGAAATGCTAGTAAATAGTTCAACAGTTACATTTTGAACAAAGATTCTGTAGAAAACTCCTGATCATAAGGGGGAAACATATAACAGAATTGCAAATTCTCATGAAATCCGGTTTTCTGAACACATGGAGGCTGGGTAAGCCCCCCAAACTGTACTGAGATAAATCTTCAAGACTTAAAAGTATCCTGTGACATTTTCTTAAAACCAAACAATAGTTTAGTGTAACTGGTGTGGTAGTTGTAAGTTAGTCGAGAGGCACCAGAAACCAAATCAGTCGAATTTGAACAAACAGGCTTTATTAGGGAGAAAACACTCCAGCCTGGGCGAAGTCCCACAGTCCACAATGTCTGGGCTGGGGGTGTCGCACTGCAGGCTACAGGGCTGCTGTTTATATGGACAGGTATGTCCGGGTTTCAGTATTGTAAGGTGTCTTCCTGGTTCCAGGTGTATTCGTGCTGGGTACAGAGTAGTGGGCAAGAACAAAGCAGGCACTGAGCCAAACGGGCCGTGCTGGTGCTGGGTGCAGAGCAGCGGGTCAAGAACAAAGCGGGCCATTAGCCAGCTCTGGTCAGCTCTGCAGGTGTGTGTGGGAGCTTCAAGGCCACTTGCTGCTAGTTGTTTCAGCTAGCTCTGGTCAGCTCCGCATGGGTGGAGGAGTCTCAAGGTCACTTGTTGCTAGAAGCCAGCCTGGTATTGATCCAGCCATACAGTAAGTAGTTACATACTATTTGATCACCTTGAAGATGTACAAGTGTACGGGTGGAGTCTAGCCTGTCAATCAGGTCACACCCTGATGGTGACCCCTTGTGGACATGAGCTTTTCATAAAGAGGGTCCCGGGAACCACCCCTGGTCTTTCTACCTTCACCTTCAAGCTACCGAGATCTGCACAAGCCCGGTGACGCGGCCATTGCCATTGGATCCATGCAATCCCGTACCCACGGGCCTGGGATCGTCCTGCATTCGCCATCATTGCTTGTGGCTGCATGAGTCTGAAGAGGCATTTATGGACTGCTATCGGACTTATGGCAGAGTAGCAGACCTAGGAACTTGATCTGGCCTGGGCTGGGATGTTTTCTTCATAAATAATTACTTCTTGATATAAAGTTCTCTTTGACACATAAACGGATGCTTCTGGATTTGTTTCTCTAGTCAACCCAGTCCAACACAACTAGTAAAGCATGTCTACCTTTGGCATTATGCTCTTTTAAGATCTGTCCATGTGGGGTCAAATTGACAACAACCTAAAAGACTAGATCGGAAGTGTAGGGGCAGTAAGGTTTTATTAGTGAGGGAGGAACAACTCTAAAAAGAGGAATAACAATCGTTACACAACACTAAGAATGTAATCAAATGTTGGATGATTGTATGCTTTCCTGTCTATAATCTCAATAACAAAAAATGAAGCACTTTCTTTTAAAGGGAGATTTCAAGAGACATGGTATTTTTTTCTTTCTTAATGATCAATATAATTCTAAAAACAACAAAAAAGTAGAGCTTCTTTTTTTAATAACTATTTTAATATACCCAGAATGAAGCACAGAATGGCGCTGAATGTGAAATATGGAAGGTGGGTTGAAACCATGGGGAAAAGAGTGACAAGGTCCAACAGAAAGCTCATTAAAGTGCCAGAGGAAGACATCAAATGAAGAGTCACGATGGGGAGAGACGATTTGCTCAGAATTAACAAAGGATAGCTATCCTCAAAGGAGAGATAATAAATAAAATCCACAACTGGTAACACTATCAAACAATTATTTTTTAAATGATCATACAAGCAGCCAGAAAGAAAAGACAGCCCTTCTAAGGAAGCGATGCTTACATCGAGAACTGTTTTCTCATTAGCAACTGTGGAAGCAATGCAATTGGATAACATTTTTAAGGAAAAAGAAAAAGTAAGGAGCCCCAGGGCATAGTGGGAGCAACCACAAAGTCAGCATTGGACCCCAC